CTCCCCTCTACTGGCTCAATGAATAAGGGAGAAAATGTTCCCATTACAGAGTGTGTAACAAATGTCTGATGCAGCCTTCACAGTCTGTCATTTCTGAGTATCTGTGATGCTTGGAAAACTCAAAGTCGACATCAGGAATAATCTGACATACCTCATGCTCACATTACAGATTGGCTCCATCTAGTTTATTCTTACAGAGAAAACCTAAAGGTCAATCAATATTTCCAGTGCAAATCATAGAGCCACAGATTGTTCGAGCTAGAGGTTTATTAGCCCATTGTTAGCCCCTCGGCCACCCAATCAGGCAGCACATGAGCAGTGTTGCTTCAGAATCAGAACAAAATGACAGGGCACCCCATTTTAGTTCAACCAAGTTTCTGTTACCCACCATCGGTCCTTGTCCTATCATTAATTTAATATGACTGTGAAGGAATAGGACTCATTCCCGGGTGACTGATGGAATTTGATTAATTTATTTTCACTTCATGTAAGAATTGCTGCTAAAGAAGGGGATCATATTTTTCCTTTGATCAAACAACCTGCTGTTCAGGGGCTGAGGAAACTGCCATTATGCATGCTACACATATTTTAAAAGGTTTTAGAATGTTCAAGAGAAATGTCTGGAATCATCATATAAAGTTTCTAACTGAAAATGATGGAATCAAGGCTGGGGCTAACCTGCAGATTAGACTTCCACTACGAAGGAATAGAAAAGGATAGGGGCAGCCCTGGGAGCAGGAGTGTGGTGGATATATTCCAATAGGGAATTGGGGAAAGGGAGGTGATTACTGCCCAGTCAGGCTGCGATCACCTAGTCGAGGACATAGAGAAAGGGAAATAGGAACTAGCTAGGGTAAGCAAGATGATTGGGAATTTTCTAATCTATAAGTAAAAGTGAAGTACACACTGGACGGTCAGTAATGCACAGCTCAACAAGGCAGTTCAGTCTGCCCCTCTAAGCCTATATAGGAGGATAGAGGAGTAAAGTATCAGTTAAACCAAACTATACATGACAAACTGGGTGAACCTAACCATAAATGCTAAAGCCTAACAAAGAAGAAATTGAGCAGTCTTTGGATAGCCTAAAACTTCTGTAAGTGGCCAAAAGTGCAAACTAATTATTGTTTTAAAACTATTGGACACTGTTACAAGTGACATTTGTAGTATGGTAACTGTGTATATGTTTTTCTCAGTCCTTAAATTTATGTCTTTTCTTCCCTTAAATATGGATCAGAGAGTATTTAATTTAATTTGAAACTGTGCATTGATCTTCTGCTATTTATAAGGCTACATGCTCAGGGCTGCAAGGGATATAAGAATGAATAGGACCCACCCCTTTCCCTTTAAGCATTTATAATACAGTAGATATACATGATAAAGCACAAATCACTACAAAATGAGACAGAATCTCCTAGGTCATTGAAAAACAAAAAGAGAGAGAGACATATTTGGTTAGTTGTGATTCATTTAAATTACATTAAAATTGTAGGTTGCTAAAAAGCAATATTGTGTTTTTGGAAGGAATGCTTGATTTGGTTTTGTTTCCCCATTTCCATTTTCTGTGCTGGAGGGGCCTTCAAGACATGTAATTTTAACAATGTACCACACCCCTCTAGTGGCCACATTGCAAACTACAGACAGACATTGCATTAGAGAAGCCAACCAAGTTCAAAAGAACATGTCATCCAGGCCAACCAGTTTCTGTGATAGTCAACTACACTCAAATCAAAGGAGAGTAAGTTCCAGAGGAAAAATAGCCCCCATGCCATGTCATGTATCTTAGACCCAGAAAAGGTACTTTGAGGTGGTAAAGAGTGTGGACATTGAGATCAGATGAACAGGTTCAAATCCTGGCTTTGCCATTTCATAATTGTTCAAGTTACTGAACCTCTCTGTTCCTCAGTCTGATTTTATACATCTGCAAAATGGGGATAACAATTACACCCAGCTTATAGGGTTGTTATGAGAATTAGAAAAGAGACTACTTAAAACATGAAGAGTTGCGCCTTATCACAGTAGGAGCTCAATAGTTGTTTTTATTAGTTGTAGTCATGGTATTTTACAGTAAAAACTAAACCATTGTTGTCTATATTTCCTTAAGTTTTCTGCAATTAAGGCTTAAAACTAATCATTAATTCCATAAAAATTATTAAATATAATAAGTATATATATTTGGGTATCAAGGAAACCTGACTTTGCTTATTTGTGTGTCTCTAGGGCAACCCACCTCACCTCTGGAGCCTCAGTTCCATTGGCCAAAAATTGGAGTTATTGATACCTTTTTGATACTTAATGAACATTGTATTTTAAGGATTCTATGAAATAATGCATGCAATGCGCTTAACAAAGAGACATGTTTGTTGAAAGAATTTATTAAAAGTAGCTATTATTAAGATCTTATATGCAAAGCATAAATCCATAGTCCACATTTTCCATGGCACTATACAATTGACTGACATCATTTTAGAGGAGAGAGAGCTCACTTTAGATTTGAATGGCCAAGGAGGAGGCTGCATTTAGTGTGCGTGTTGGGTTGGAGCACCATAATTAAGACAAAATAGGGATTCAACGGGGAAATTTGAGAGGGGGTGGGGATGCTAGAGCAAGCTTAGGTCAGAATCAGAGAGCAGGTCTGAATCTGGTACTCAAGACATGCTGGAACTTATGCAGAAGCCTAAGAAGCTGGCTGACAGCCATACTCTTTGGAGAAGGCCACAGAGTAAAAAGAGTGACATGAACAGGAGCCAAGAGGCTTGGCTGGACTTGGTTACTGAAGACTGGTTTCCCCTAGGGAGCAGCCTATTCAAAATTTGTACTTTCCTCCCAGCTATACCTCCCTGGGGTCAGAGAGGCCCCTATTCTAAGTCTGGTTAGTGAAATAGCCCCTGCCTGCAGTGGGTGCAGAGGGCATTCTGGTGGGACCACATACGGCAACTCAGAGGTGGGAGTGGGCACCTTTCATCTTGGTTGATGCAGTTCTTTATCCAATTCCACCTTATCTCTTTGAACTTTAGTGATCATCTCCAAATTCCTTCTATTTCAGTAATGGTGTTTTCTGCCACTTACAGTTATATTTCCTTTCTACCATGTTTGCCCATTTCCTTTCACAAGCTTTGTCCTCTGTACCTTCTTTCCATAGTGCCACTAATTCACTATATCTTTCTCATTCCAGATTTCCATATGCTACAGAAAACTTGGAACCTATAGTATATATATATATGACAGCTGGGTTTTTAAGTGCCTTTTTAGCATATATCTCAAAGTTTAAAACCTAGTCAAAATATGATTAGTATTATCAATACATAGCTTTTATAGAATTTGTGGATTTAAGTATCATTAAAAATAGTTTCTAAAAATATCCTGATGTCTTGATTATACTCTTCACTGTCTCTGAGTATTAAAATGCAAAACTAATTGTTTTAAGTGTAACTTCTGTGGAATGTTATGTGCCAGAAATAAGATTTCTCATAGTGGTTTTATCTTTTCCCCCAATTAGACATGTCTGGGTCTCCTGTGGTACCCACAGGACATACCTGAGGGTGTCTCCCTTTAGCAGCCTAATTGTCATTCTGTTGAGGTTACTTTACCTTGCAGTGGTTTAGGAGCTTGCCCTCATTTCATTACTAATTAAATTTATTTTTACAAAGTTATAAATTAATTATTTGATTTAAAATGACTGAAATCTATACCTCATTCCAAGATCTCTTTTAACTCTGGGTAATTAAATTTAAGAGCTATGTTAATCTTTATTAGTATTTGAAGGAAATGACTGATGGGAAATTAAAGACTTCAGTTTCTTAAATAGTAGGATAGGTACTGTCTTGGAGATAGGATGAAAAATTAGAAAGTGCTCATTTCCACGAACAGTGTCCTTTCATTGTCTTGCACTGCTAGCACGCCTCACTTGAAACGGATTAGGAGACTTGTTAAGATATCTTTAGACTAGAACAACTGGGGTCCAACTCAACGTTCACTCATTGTTTTAAGAGCATTTTCATTTTGTGAGCTCTCATGTCACTTTCTTTTTCTTATGAGACCAGCCCGGGTAAAAAATAATAATGTAAAAAAAAAAAAAAAAAAAAAAAAAG